GGCCCCAGTGGAAAACACTCAGACTGGAGTTAATGCCTGGGTTTGAGTCTTACCTAGCCCTGTCATTTGGGCAAGACCTTTAATTTCCCTGAGCCAGAGACAGGTTTTTGCATGGAATCCAATGGCCTTAAAGTCACTGTTTCCGAGGACGAAGCAAGCAGGGGAAGTAATAGGGGTATGGATAGGTCTGCTTTTTCCTCCTAACCCCCTTGTATCTGTTTAGGCTTTGGGTACATGACGCAGCAGCTGATGAACTTGGCAGGAGGCGCGGTGGTGCTGGCCTTGGAGGGTGGCCATGACCTCACAGCCATCTGTGATGCCTCCGAAGCCTGTGTAGCTGCTCTTCTGGGCAACAAGGTGAGCTGCCCTGCCCCCACCCGTGCGGCTGCGGCAGTAGGTGAGACGGGCTCCCATAGGTCTGCCCCAAAGAGCAGGCAGATAGATGGGCTGGGATGGGCTTGGCCTGAGCGGGAGACGGGAAGGGAAGGCATGGGAACTGAAATTCGGTGGCCACCAGAGATTGCCTTCCTAGGTCAAGGTTACTATGGCCAATGCCTTCTGAGCTCACAGAGCCCGTGGCGCTTGCCTACTGATGCTAGAGGGTTGCGGCCTTTTTAGGGGAGAGAACGAAGCCTGTGGGTCCCTGAGAAACTGAGGGGCTGTTTTCTGTAGGTGGATCCTCTTGCAGAAGAAGGCTGGAAGCAGAAACCCAACCTCAACGCCATCCGCTCTCTGGAAGCTGTGATCCGAGTACACAGTGAGTTCTGGGCCCAACTTGGGGACCAACATCAGGGGCTCATTGGTCCTCAGCGGGTAGAGGCTAGCTGCTAAGTTTGTAATCAGATCCCATGAGTCACCCCAGCAGTAATGATGAGCCAGCCCCACCCCAAAGTGTAACCTCTGAACTTTCCAGATGGTCCCATAAGACAGTGGGCCTCCTTGACGCAAGAACTAGAGGCAAGTCTTGATATTCAGGCCTTTTGGCAAATGAGGACTGCTTTGCGTCTCTCCCTTCAGGACTGGCCCCAGGCAGCGCTGTGCTTGCAGCAGGGCTGTGTCTTAGAATACCCCACTGAAAAAAGAGTCCACGTTCGGGGCAGGTGTTGGAGGCTCACACCTGTAATCCTAGCTACTCAGGAGGCTGTACTCTGAGGATTATGTTTTGAAGCCAGGGAAAGGAAAGTTGGTGAGCCTCTTATCTCCAATTAACCACCAGGAAGCGAGAAATGGTGCTGTGATTCAAAGTGGTAGAGCACTAGCCTTGAGCAAAAGAGCTTAGGGGTAGCACCCAGGCCCTGAGTTCAAGCCCCATGATCAAAAGAAGAGCCCACATTTGGAAAGCACTTTGAAATCTCAACTTGAACTTAGTATTTGTTGTATGCTCTATGTAAAGTCTGGTGATATATTCTAGAGATACGGAAAGAAAGTAGGTCACTCTATCAAGTGCATGTGACCAACTAGACCTATATAGGATATTCCATGGTCCAGATGAGCTATGGGAATAAGCCTTCTACCTCCCCTTTCTTTCTTCTATTTAGTTATTTTTGTGGTGCTGGGATCAAACCCAAGACCTTGTGCTTACGGGCAAGCACTCTACCATTGAACTATACTCTCAACCCTTGTTAATGCTGTTGGTTGTGGTGATTTCTAGAATGTGAACTCTGTGAACCCAGGACCTCTTGCTAGACAAGGGCTCTACCACTTGAGCTATATCCTCAGTCTAGTCATAGAGCTTGACCTCAGGACCTGGGCTTTTTTTTTTCCCCCCTCAAGGCTAGTGTTCTACCACTTTGAGTTACAACTGTACTTCCAGATGGTTAATTAGAGTTAAGAGTCTCATGGGCTTTCCTGCCCTGGCTGACTTTGAACCGCTATCCTCAGCTCTCAGCCTCCTGAGTAGCTAGGATTACAGGCATGGGATGCCAGCACCCAGTTCCAATTCAGGTTTTTTTGTTTTGGGTGGTGGTACTGAGCTTGAACTCAGGGCCTGGGTGCTGTCCCTTAGTTTTTTCTTTTTTTTCTTTCTTTTTATCTCCCTTCTTCCTTCCTTCCTTCCTAACTTCCTTCCTTTCTCTTTCCTTCTCTTTCTTTCTTTCTCTTTCTTTTCCTTCCTTTCTTTTTTCTTTTCTCTTCTTTTTGTGCCAGTCCTGGGGCTTGAACTCAGAGCCAGGGCACTACCCTCAGCTTTTTTTGCTCAAGCCACAGCTACACTTCCAGTTGTTGCTATATCTGGTAGTTAACTAGAGATAAGAGTCTCTCATACTTTCTTGCCTGGGCTGGCTTTGAACCCCTATCCTCAGGTCTCAGCCTCCTGAGTAGCTAGGATTACAGGCATGAGCCACCGTTGCCCAGCTGGTCCCTTAGCTTTTTTGCTCAAGGCTGGCACTCTACCACTTAATCCAATCTTCACTTCCAGCTGTTTGCTGGTTATTAGAGATAAGAGTCACATGGACTTTTCCTGCCCCAGGCTGGCTTCAAACCATGATTTTAAGATCTAAGCCTTCTGAGTAGCTAGGATCACAAGCATGAATCACCAGCATCTAGCCAGTTGTTTTCATTTTATTTTTTTGAGACAGGATCTAATTTTTTTTGGAGGGGGGGGGTCTGGTCCTGGGGGCCTGAACTCTGGGTCTGGGAGCTGTCCCTCAGCTCTTCAGCTCAAGGCTAGCTCGCTACCACTTGAGCCATAGCACCACTTCCGGCTTTTTTTTTTCTGCTTATGTGGTGCTGAGGAATCGAACCCAGGGCCTCATGCATGCAAGGCAAGCGCTCTACCACTGAGCCACCTTCTCAGCCCCACAGGATCTCATTTTATTACTCTGCCTGGCTTCATACTCAATATGTAGCCCAGGTTGGCCTCTAACTTTAGAACTTCCTGCCTCGGCCTCCCAAATGCTAGGATTATAGGCATGTACAACCACACCTAGCTCACATGTGAAGATCATGTGAGTGAGACCTTGTGCTCCAGAAGGCCAGGGCTCAGGAATGTGTGAGCAAATTTGATCCAGACTCAGTGCAGGGCAAAGAGGCTCCCTAGTCCTCACATCCCCACACTTATGGGAGTGGCTCGAGGTAGTCTTTCAGGCAAATGAGACAGCAGAATGGCCCAGCACCCCCCGCCCCCAGCATTACAATGTCAAACCTGTTCTGCCAGCTGTTCAGGGCGGTAGGCAGGGAGGGGCAGGCTAGGAGAGGGTGCACTGAGGAGAGCTGACCCCAAGCGTAGGGCACGCCCACTGTTCTTGGACTCTGGGCCTGAATCTCCAGCCTCAGTATCCGGTATAAGATGCAGGGTCAAAGGGTTTTTTTTCTAACCTTTCTGACCTTGCTTCTTACCCTAGGTAAATACTGGGGTTGCATGCAGCGCTTGGCTTCCTGTCCAGATTCCTGGTGGCCCAGGGTACCAGGGGCTGATGCAGAAGTGGAGGCCGTGACTGCACTGGCTTCCCTCTCCGTGGGCATCCTGACTGAAGACAGGTAATGCCAGAGGTAGAGCTTTGGGGGTCCACGAGCTCCCCAACCTCTCCTATTCTCCTGACTTGAAGATCCCAGAGCCTGACTCTGTGCAACCATACTAATTCTCTTCAGGCTTCCTAACCAGGAATGTGGGGGTAACCCCACTAAGACCCCGTGTGAAGCTTCTGGTCCACCAGCATCCTACCCTTGTGTGTCCTCCAGGCCCTCAGAGCAGCTGGTAGAAGAGGAAGAGCCGATGAATCTCTAGGCTTCAGCGTCATCAGCCTTCTCTTTGGACTCGGCTCTCTTCACCTCTGCTACCAGCCCTGTTTCCTGGTCTTCAGAGATCTTGCGGGCAGGTAGTCAGGACCAGAGACCAGCCTGCCTTACAGTCACCCAGGGAGCTGGAGGAGGCCCCTAGCTCTGGGATGGGGGTCAGAAAGGACCCTGAGAGGAGGCAGGCTGCGCAACAGGCCCCAGCAGAGTGTCCCCTCCCATGTGGAGGCCTCTAGCTGTGGCCTCCATCCCTCAGGACTGCACTGAGGACTGGCTCAGGTGGGCTCACCTTTAACCACTATTCTTGGCTCTGCAGACCCTAGACTTTGCACACAGCCCCAGGCTCCACGCAGAAATGTGAACTTGGCCCTTCCTGGGTTTGGTGGGGGGGGGGGACTGGGGGAGCAGAGGAGGAGCCAAGGGATCCCTGGAGTGCCAGGGGAGTTCCTCCTGTCACCTGTTTCCTCGAATGCCTCTAGAAGCTTCCCTGCACCAATGGGCTCTGAGCCGCTCTGTCACTGTGAGAACAGTCACCTGCAGGCCTCTGATCTGGTCACTGCCCTGCTGGGGACCCCCCCCCCCTTTGTGGACCATCTCAGTGCCCTGGTGTAGACAGGTGCTTCCTGACCCCATGGTGCCAAACCTTCATCTCCCCCCCCCTCAGAAGCACAGCATGACCCTCCCCCCAGGGGGAATCCCTGGTCACTGTCTATCCCCCCCTCCATGAGCCTTCTGTTTTCTGGGGTCTCCCCCACCCCAGCTCTGACTTTTGCCCCACATAGGACTAGCATGGCTGAGAGGAAGAGGGTGGGTGAGTAGACACAGATGTGGGGGAGGGGAGGCTGTCCCCTCAGTCTTTAAGGCTTTTGGAGTCCGGAACCTGGGGCTAAGAAGAGTGTGTGTGTGTGTGTGTGCGAGTGCGAATGTGTGCGAGAATGTGTGTATGTGTGTGTGTCTAACTCCCTCAGGACCCACAATACCCTGTGTACGTATGCATGTTTTTGTAAAAAAGAAAAAAGTGGAAAAAATCTGAACAATAAATGTTTTATTTGCTCTAATGTCTCTGTGAAAGTGTCTCCTGGGTGTGAAGCGGCACCATCCATACAGGCTGCGTTGCATGACCTGTGCCTTTGGATGAGGGACAAGGCTAGGCGGGGCTCAGCCCCTCCTGTAGCCGCTGCTCAGAGTACACCCTTGCCACCCCTGCCCCTGCCTTTCTCTCTGGGAGAGACGAAGGCAGTGATAATAACTGAGCGGCCCAAGGAGGCGGAAGGGAACATAGGGCTTATTCAACCAAGCACCTCAAAGGATCATGAAATCACCGCACCTGGACTTAAATTCTAGCTGGGAGCCGAGTTTAGTCTCATCACCTCCAGGGGGCCTCTGGGTATCAATAGAAGGTTCTAGAAGTGGACACTGTTTTCTGTTTGCTTTCTGCTTTCCTGTGGCATGGCTTCTTAAGCACGTACTGAGCCAGGAAGAGTGGGTGAGACAAGTTGGGACAAGTATGCCCAGCGTGAGCAGTGAGGCTCCAGGGCCTGCCTTGCTGGTTTTGCCTGCCAGGCTTTGCCAGTCTCTCATTCGCATAGTCCTGGATCTGAGCCCTGAGCAGCCTGACAGAGGTGGAGGGAAGAGGGGCTTCAGATGCTGAATCTTTTGGGGGGTTGTTAGGGTGGTGCTTGTGGGTATCCTAACCCTGGCTGGGCAGAGCAGGGAGCCCAGGAAAGAACTGAGCTAGAGCCACTATATTTCTGGTGCTGAGCAGCTCTAGCGCTGGTAGATAGACCCTACCCCTGCCCTCCCGAGTGCAATTTAGCAAAATGGTTTATTGAGATAGCTTAAGGACTTACCCTTCCCTGCCCATCATTCCCCACAATTTGCTCCCAAGTTTCCTACTTCCCCAAGAAAACAACCTGAAAGCTGTCTGATACAAATGCCCACTGTATTTCTGCTAAGGTGACAGATAAGGCAGAGCTAGGGGCGGGACAAGTAGAAAAGGAGTAGATGTGCAAAATGGCAGCCTGAAGAAAGAGATGGGGATAACACACACCATGGAGTTAGGGGAGCCCCAGGGTCGGGGAAGAAAAGCACAAGTTGTCCTTCATGAGGGAAAAGGCTTTTCTTTTTTAAAGATCAAACCTCTAGTTGAAGGGTGGTAAGCTGGGCTGGTGTGTGTCCCCTTCGCTCAAAAGCCTTTCTGGGAGCAGGAATGCACTTGCTATGGTCCTTCGGTTAGCCTCATTTGGAGGGTGCTCAGGTGTGTGGACTTGTGACACACAGACAGACCGGCCCTAGACCAGATCTGAGTGGAAGGATGGGAGTAGGGACCCAGAACTCTCCATTCAACTCTTCTCCCTTGAGGACAGGGCCACAGGTCACCTTTCTGAGACATGACTTTAACTACATGGCCTTTGGGGATAACAGAATGCAAGGGAGGGGGCTGAGAGGCCTCTTAGAGGTTCCTCACTTGACCTGAACACCCCAGTTTCTCACTCCAGCCTCAGTGAGTGTGCCTGGGGCAGCAGGGATCAAACCTGTCCTTAGCCAGAGGTCCAGACTTCAGAGTCTTATCCCCTCTCTCTTCACTCCATTGCTCTGGCCTGACTTACAAAGTGCTGATCAATCCACCGGAATGGATCTAAGCTGCCTTCCAGCTAGGCTGAGGAGCTATTTGTGAGAACCCCCTCCACTACACCAGTCTCCCCCCCCCACCCCTGCAAAGGAGATATATAGACAGTTTCCTCGGAAACTGTAGTGGTCCTCTTGTGTATCTTCTGCCACAGTTCTGGGGTCTCCAGGGCATGGCGGGGGTGGGGGGTAGGCCCACTTGATGTCTCAGGGGCTGAGTTCAGGTCCTCAGGTCCCCCCCAGGCCACAGTGATCTCAGTTCCTGGGTCAGAAATCACTGAGGATGCTGATGTCGGCAAAGTCAGCCCGGTAGCGGTGGGCATAGAGGCTGAGCAGGAAGGCCCACTTGAAGGATATGAAACTCCACACGCAGGAGAGGTAGTAGCTGCTGGGATCCAGGAGGCCTACCAAAGGGAAGGGGGCAGTGGTTACTGGAGAGGCCCATCCTTGACCCAAAGCCAGGGCCACCCTCCTGACATAGTACCCCTTCCATCTCCTGGCTGGTGAGGCAGTCTTCCAGAGACTGGAGCAGGATGTGAGTTTGAGCATATCCCAGAGTTTGGGGGCTGCAAGTCATGGGAGGCAAGGGAAGGTCAGGGCTGGCCAGACACAGGTCTGTACCATCTACTGCCTTTCTGTTTTGTTTGTGCTCATCCTGAGGCTTGCATTCAGGGTCTAGGTGTTGTTCCCGAGCTTTTTTTTGCTAAAGATTAGTGCTTTACCACTTGGGCCACAGTTCCACTTCCAGCTTTTTTGGTGCTTAATTGGAGATGAGAGTCTCACAGACTTTCTTGCCTGGGCTAACTTCGAACTGTGATGATCTTCAGATCTCAGCCTCCCAAGTAGCTAAGCTTAGAGGTGTGAGTCACCAGTGCCCAGCCCACTCTACCTTTGTGACAAGTACCCCAAGTGACTTCAACTTGCATCAGACTACACAGGGGGTCTGGAGAAGGGCCTCTGGGTACTTCCTGTCATAGCCGCCAGAGGGCACTCTCCTCTCAGAGCTAGGCAGAGACTAAACGATACCAATCATTCTCGGGATTGCTGACACAGGCCATGCTCCGTGTCCAGTAGGTCCTACTAATTCTCATTGCCTATCTTAGGGGGTGGAGACTGATTCTCTCTATTTTATCAGTAAGATCAAATGTTTTCTCTAGCTCCTTGAACATAAGCTGGTGTGTGTGTGTGTGTGTGTGTGTGTGTGTGGCAGGTGTACAAGAGCCTTCAGGGAATGCTTCCTCCCGGCAGCGTCCCTCCCCCATGCTCTTACTCTGATGCTGGGTGATGGCCAATGTAAGAAAGGTGCAGAAGGCAGCGACGGAGACAGCTGAGAAGAGAATGCCCACGAAGAAGAAGCCACGTAGCCCCTTGAGCCAGGTCCTCCAGTAATCCTGCAGGTACATCACGTGAGTGACCAGGACCCACAGGGCCAGCACACCTGTGGGAACAGACTTGCTCAGCGGGACGCAGCCACCTCCCACCTACCGGGCTGCAGTCCCCTCTCCTCCCTGCCTGAGCCCAGCTGCTGGGGATCCCAGGTCCACCAGGCCAGACTTGTTTTCATGAAAACATGGAGGAGACTGTCCCTTGTCATTCTACTTCATGACTGCAGAGTGGTGCCTTCCCTGGAGTTTGACCTCATGTCCCAAATGCAGCGCATGAGACTCAAAGCTGCCTTCTAAAAAGCAAGACAAAAGAGATTTGTGAGAACTATGTCCCTCTTCTCCTTAATGTATGTGTGTGTGTGTGTGTGTGTGTGTACATGCCTGCACACTAGCACTGGAGCTTGAATTTTTTTTTTTTTTGGCTGTGTTTGTCTTTACTTTTACTTAACTCCTGGTAGACTATGAAAACAGATCAATTGGCTTAATTTTGTGATTATTTTTACTTCCCACTTCCTGCTTGATCACACAATTCTTTTGGTTACAATTTTTTTTTTTTTTTTTTGCCAGTCCTAGGGCTTGAACTCTGGGCTTGGGCGCTGTCCCTGAGCCTCTTTGTGCTCAAGGCTAGCGCTCTACCACTTGAACCACAGCACCACTTCTGGCTTTTTCTGAGTAGTTCATTGAACCTTTCCTGTGTGGGCTGGCTGAGACCTGTGATCCTCAGATCTCAGCCTCCTGAGTTTGCTCAGCTTTTTCTGCTCAAGGCTGGTTCATGCTCTTATCACTTGAGCTACACCTATACTTCCCGCTTTTGTTTGTCTGATGTTTGTTTGGTTTTTTGGTTGGAGGCTGGTCCTCAAACTCAGTTCCTGGCGCTTTCACCCACTGGCTAGCATTCTGCCAACTGAGCCATAACTCCAACCCCTACTTCCAGTTTCTTTTTGGTGAACTGGATAAGAGTCTCACAGATGTGTCCATCCCAGCTGGCTTCAAACCTCAATCCTCAGATTTCAGCCTTCTGAGTAGCTAGGATTATAGGAATAGCCCAGCACTTGGCTCCTAATTGATTTGTGTATTTATTAAACATAAGCATCTTTCCCCCAAATATTACTTTTAATATGGCCTTTAAAATGCTTAAGATGTTCTTGTTTTTAATTTTGAATCTGTCTGTCCTCAGGGACCTCAGCCTTTCAAGTTTTGAGGCCTGTGGCTGAGCTCTGGCAGCAGAGCTCTTCCCAAATTCTGGATTGCTCTTCAGGATGAGGAAGCCCAGCCCCAGCCCTCCCAGGACCACCCAGCACCAAGTGACCTTCTTGCTCTTTGCTACATGTTAGGCCCTTCCCTCTAGCTGGCAGCAAAGGGCAAGCCAGCATCCCCAGCATCCTCTGGGCCTGGTGGGTACTTGCTCAGGCTAACAGCTGCTCTCCGCCAGTACAATAGGACAGAATTCAACTCTTGGTGCCTGGCAGTGCCTGCTCACATAGCTCAAGCAGTGGAACAAATACCAGGCCCATTGGCAAGGGCTGGAGCAGGGGCCATGGGGAAGAACAAGCAGAAAAGAGGCAGAGGCAGCTGCAAGCTCTTGGCTGCAAAGCCTGGGTTGTTGATGCTACAGGCTGCCACAATCCAGGGGGCAAGGGGACTTTCCAAAAAGAGCTGCTGCATCTACCATGTGCACAGGAGCCTTTTACCATGCTAGCAAGGGCTGGAAGAAAAGTATTGAAAGTGGGGGAGGCTAATAAAAGTCATCTATAACATTTTATTTCTTAGGCCCAGTGATAAACCTTCCATATTAAATTATCTATCCACCAGGTTCTGATGGCTCACACCTGTAATCCTGGCTCCTCAGGAGGCTGAGATCTGAACATCTTGGTTCAAAGCTAGACGTGGAGCTGTGGCTCAAGAGGCAGAACGCTAGCCTTGAGCAAAAAAGCTCGGGGATAGCAGCAAGACCCTGAAACATGCCTCAGTACTGCACTAACTAGTCTATTTTTCATACCTGAAATGGTCACTTTTTTTTTTTTAGGAAAATGAGGAGGAGGGAGCTTTGTCACAGTCAAGTAAGGGACAAAACCCCATGAGACTTTAAAGCTAGAAAATCTGGAGCCCAGCACTGCTGTGGAGCCCTTGGTGTTTCTACATCTAAAAATAGAGGTGAGGAGGCTGAGGTCCTGCTAGACTGAATAACCAGGAAACCTACAGTAGGGAAGAGGCCCACTGACTCCACAGTGGGTGTCCTTACCCACTCTCTGTGACCTCCCCCCACCCCCATCTTGATACTTGTCCATCCTCAACCTTCCTTTGGGATTGAGGGTCTGGAACGTAGACTTCCCGTGATCAGGATGGGCCAAGACAAAGCATACCTCCAACTCTGCCTGGCCAGGACACTGAAGCAAGACACCAGGTGGACAGAATAATAAACCCACAGCTTCTGCTTTGTCTGGTGTGATCTGGATTTTGTGCCAGCCACTTTCCTCAGAAGTTTTTCCAGCTTCCTCCCCAGGCATTGTAAGTTTTCATTTGGGGGTGCTGTTTAGTTTCTTTTGAGGGGGGAAATAATGCTGAGGGTTGTAGCTGGGGACCTAGCACATGGCTGGGTTTAACACTGAACTTTAGCACTGAGCTATACCTCCAGACCCCTTCTTGATTTCTTGTCTTCCTTTTTTTCCCCTGTGTGTGTGTGTGTGTGTGTGTGTGTGTGTGTGTGTGCGCGCATGTGCACACGCACGCTAATCCTGAGGCTTGAACTCAAGGCTTGAGCACTGTCACTGAACTTTTTTTGTTTTTGATCAAGGCTACCCCTTCTTCTACTTGGATTCCCCCCCACATCCCCGCCCACCACACACACTTCTGGATTTTTTTTTGAAGGTTAATTGTAGAGAAGAGTCTCATAGACTTTCTTGCCTTAGCTGGCTTTGAACCCTGATCCTCAGCTCTCTGCCTTCTGAGTAGCTAGGATTATAGGCTTGAGCCAAGGGTGTAGGCTCTCCCTGCTTGATTTCCTAACAGGCCCTTATCATAGGCAGTCAGGAGACAGAGAGGGACACCTGTTGGTGACAGGTCCACTCACTCTCTCTCTTTCTTTCTTCATGCCATGTGGGGATTGGAGTTGAGCTCTATGATCCTTTCCCACTTGAAGATTCTAGAAGCCAGCTTAGGAGAAAAATAAGTCCCTCTGTGACTCAGCAGTTTCTGGATTAGGAAATGTTGAAACAGAGCCCCGTGAAGACACCAGCTCAGACCAGTGTTCATAACCCAGTGGATTCCCCCAAACTTCCATTCCTACATAGACAAATAGGGCTGAGAACAGGAGGAAAAGATTGTTTTCTTTGTTTTGTCATTTGTTTTTTTGGTGCTGGTCCTGGGGCTTAAACTCAGGGCTGGGGCACTGTCCCTGAGCTTTTTCCGCTCAAGGCCAACATTCTCCCACTTGAGCCACAGCTCTATTTCAGGCTTTTTGGTGAGATTCATGGGAGATAAAAGCCTCACAGACTTCGCTGCCCAGGCTAGCTTGGAACCATAATCCTCCTGAGTAGTTAGGATTACAAGTGTGAGCCACCGGTACCCTGCAAGATGTCTGTTTTGTTCCTTGTTAATATGCAGATACCTTTCCCACCTGTCACCTCCATTCAACCCTGGTCCAGCCGCTGCACACAGGCCTCCTCCAGATAAACAAAGCCAATCCGGAGGCCCATTGCACCTGCCCTGGCTCTCCCAAACTACTGGAGGGAAGGCCAGTCCCTCAAAACCCCCAGATAGTCACTGAGCCCCCCTCTTCCTAGTCCCCCCACCACCACCAGGAGGCAGTTGGCTCTTCCTTCTGGAGCTTCAGGGAGCCTGGTCTGCACAAACTGGTATAGAATAGGCAGGTCCAAAGCCCTACCTGGCTGCAGCCATGCCAAGACCTTAGTCTGGCTCCAGCCACCTGCCCTCTGGACCCACAGCGTCGGTCAGCAGAAATGCCAGCATTGGGTTTGGATGAAGCCAGGAAGTCCCCAGAGTAGCCCAGAAGGGAAAAGCAGACAGAGAGGACATGTCCTGGGTCAGGGCCCTAATACGTATGCACCCCAGTCCTCTCTCTTCTTACACCTGGGGGTAAGAATGGCTGGGGGGTACAGGGAAATGGAGGGACCTAGAACAAGTGAGGTAAGTCAAGCTCAGAGAGACAAACAGCACACGTTTTCTCCCCTATGCAGAAGCTAGAACTAAAATACAGTGCAACACAATAAATCGTACAGGACTCTAGGCATTCATGGTGAGACCAAAGGAGGATTTTTTTAGGGGAAGAACACAAAGGCACAATGCCTATGTCCCGCTGATCATAGAAAATATTTATCGAAATGAACTCTAGGAAATGGAAACGTGACTTTTCTTTGCTGTTCTTTTCTTTCTTTCTTTCTTTTTTGTTCTTGTTTATCTGTCTTTGGGAAGGTAAAGGAGGGGAGGATATAGAAATGAAGGACCAGCTGAGTACCGGTGGCTCATGTCTGTAATCCTAGCTACTCAGGAGGCTGAGATCTGAGAATCACCGTTTGAAGCCAGCCTGGGCAGGAAAGTCTATGAGGCTCATCTCTAATTAATCACACAAAAAAAGCCAGAAGCAGTGCTGTGGCTCAAGTGGTGGAGCATTAGCCTTGAACTAAAGGAACTTAAGAATATACCCAGGCCCAGAGTTCAAGCCCAGGACCAGCAAAAAAAAAAGAGGGAAAAAGGATGAACAGCAGTGGTACCCACTAAATATTATGTTGAAAATGACACAACTTGTGGGTGGGGGAGACAGGAAGGGAAAACTGGGAATGAGGGAAGGGGTGACATTGCCCAAAAAGAAATGTACTTTACCTGACTTGTGTAATTGTAGCCCTCTGCATATCATCTTTATAGCAACAGTAAAAAAAATTAAAAATTTAAAAAAGGCTAGAGGCACACCAGAGCTCCTCTTCACTCAGGTGGGAAGAACATAGCACTGTTTGGTCTTAGAAGCCAACCTTACTCTTCTCTTTCACTGGTCTTCTAGACCCCAAAGCAAGATTGTGTTGCACCAGAGTTGGTGGATCCAACGTGGCTTCTCCAGGAAACACACCTCCCTTCTGCCACTGCTTTTCTGCATACCCACTTCTCCCCAGATGGGATGGGATTGTCGGCCAAGTGCTTTGCCTCCTGGGTTCAGGAGCTCCCTGGGCTAACCCTGCCCAGGGGCCAGCATGTCCAGCCAGTATGCCCACCAGTGCCACGTGGCCCAGCATAGAAGCAGAGCCCCTGGGGTTGCCTTGCAGTGACTCAGCAG